ATTGGTGTAGTTGAGACACCTCCAAATCTTGTGCACTTCTGGGGGAACGCTGTATGCACGGCGCAAGCTTAACGGATCGATCGCCGGACCATTCCTTCCCGTATCTTTTGCCCAGATTCAGGCCGAAGATGGACAGTTGGTAAAGGCGTCGCCACAGTATGCATTGGCTGCCTAAGGAATCTTGGACCGAATCTAGCCCGGCTAACTGAGGATTTGCTTCTTGATACCTTACAAATTTCAGTTAGGGGCGCAATTCGAAAAAGGGGCAGTCAGCTCTAGTAGTAAATCCTCCATGAGCCTCTCGGAAATCTGACTCCCGTAGCTCTGACTTGTTTCGCATTTGTTTTCAAAAAAAAAAAATCTCGTTTACAATGAAATTTCACGAATTACCTACCTTCTACCTTTATCCGAATCTCTTGTCTTTGGTGTGATATAGTTGCGACTTTGACATTTTGCCGAACAGAAATGTGAATGATTGAAAAAGTCAAATGAATGCATTTCCATCAGTGATCTGTAAAATTTATTGCAATAACGAGAGTCAAAAGAACACCGCTATCCGACTATTCTGATTAATTAGTTTGATTTAGACTTTTTTTTTCATCTAAAACCCAGCGCCCAATCTATCTTCCGGCTCTGCGGTATACTGTGGGATACCAGAAAAGAAACAGGAAAGGACGTAGTTGCGGTTTGATGGTTTTACTAAAAGGGTGACTTCTTTCCAGAGCTTCGAGAAAGGTATATCGTAATAAAGAGTTTGGTGAACTGATAAAATCTGTGAAAATCTCTCGAAACGGTTTACTTTTGTCTAACCTGTACTGGTAAGCAGTTGTCTGCCGCATCACATCTACAAGTCCCTTTTGATGGGAAACGAAGCTCAGTTGCAGTGATGTATTCGTATTTGTAATTGTAAGGGTATTCAATCCGTCCCTGGGATGCGATTTGTCAGCTGGTATTCCATTTTACTGGTTTTGAAGTTTCATTTTACTGGTTTTGAAACGGAAAAGGGTCTGGACGAACTCAAATCGCTGATTATCTTGTTAAGTATAACTATTTTGATCCGTTCATAGTCGCGGCGGCGACGCTCAGCTGCTCACATGACGCCTACTTGCACCAGCATCGTCGTTCAGCTTTTAAGCTCAGTTTTAGTAACCCTCATTTTCCCTGTGCTTTTTTCCGAATCACTCTAATCTCACCTTAAATTTGATTTTCCAATTCTTATACTGCCCTTCCAGTCTTTCTGCTTGTCCTTGTTTGCTCTTACTGTGAACTCCTTTGGTGTAATCATTTCTTCTGAAACGGAAATGTTCCCGGTTGTGATCTACGTAGCAAAATCCGATATTTTCAAACCCACTTTCGAACTCAATGCAAGCTTGATGGATGCCAGGGCATAGGAACAGTTCTACATGCATTTTGGCAGTTAGTGATCCACATTTTACCTGAAATTTTTAGGAAATCGTTTGTTTTGTAAACAATCAACAGAATCAATGAGAAAAGCAAAAATTTTTTTAGAAGATATTTCATTTCAATTGGCTGGTGTAAAGGATGGAAGGATAAATTCTGCAGGGTAAATCGATCCCGTATGAGGGAGGATATGAGGGATGCGCCCCGCATTCGACTTTCATTCAGAATCGTAGCGACGTATTGAGGGTGTATGTGGCTTATACCATGACTTGCGGTGACCTCTTGTTACAGGGCCTTTGCAATTATGTTCAAAATATCCGAAAATAACAGTAATAACTTGTATCAAAATACTGTGACCCCGAGCTGTCTCAATGCTTAAGTAATCCTGTTTATCCAACTGATTTATGCTGACATTACCAGATGCAATGCGGAGGATCGCCGCTTCAGATAAGATTAAGCGTCACCGAAGGATACTGTAATTCGTAAGGAGGGATACGGTATTTACAGAAGAAAACAGCACCCGGCATTAATTTCGAAGAACCCCGTATTCGTTTTGATTTATTGCGCCATCTGTGCCTTGGACTAGTCCGCTCAGTTCTTTGACGGGACACTTTCATGTGAAACAGTAAATTTTACTTTCTGCTGTTCACTCCAAATTTCAATGAAATAATTGACCGTGACGAATCGAATAATTTTTTGAAAAGAAGAACGTGTAATGAGAAGTACTTGAGATTCAGAGCAGAAATTGTTGCGGACTGTTTTTGCGAACAATCTATATTACTTACTGACTCTCTACTTCGCGAGCTCTTTAACTGCCCATGAGATGAGTAATTTTAGAACAACGAGATGGTGAAGTGGCAAGTAACGCGATTCCACACACGCATGATCCCCGGTTCAAATCCTGAACTGCTACTCGCCTAGGCCATCCAAGCCTTCCCGTCCGGGATATCTTAATTAGTGTCAGATTCGTCTGGGAGGTCTGACTTGTACATCAGCTGGCCACCGCAAGCAAGTTATTCTATGGGTCACATACGCGTAATCATGTAAGAAAGAATTTAGCTGCACACAGAGGCCTTAATTCAAACTCTGGGGTATCCCTGAACAGGGTTATGCTTACTGCCCACCGGGTGAAATCGCCTACTCTAGTCCATCAACCTTAAAAGTTTCTTAAACCTGTAGGCTTATTTAAGCAACAGAGCTTGGATTTTCTCACTGTATTCGGTACTTTCTGCCTTTAGTCGAGCTTGCTATACCCCATGGTTTTTTCTGATGTTGACGAAGTACCGCTGAGTACATTCCTGGAGCACTCCTCTTTAAGAAATTTGTGTCAGCCCTAACAATTGCATGAACTTACTACTTACAATTAGACGACACGAGAGAGTCTTTATCAGACCTACATTTTAATGTACAATTCGTAGTCTAGCCATGAGGTAGTCAAGTAAATAATTATTTATTGAGAGTTGGAAAAAGAGAAAGATAGCGCAGCGGCTAAATTATGCGTTCTGGAATTTTCAGTCCCAGCAAGACCACATAGGATCGATTTCCTTGGCAGATTCATTCACGATTTAGTCTTGCATGCGATTGTGCCTACGCAATCCATTCCAATGACTTTACGACCAAATAACAATGAATACGTGGCACATCCTAACGGGAACCACCGACCCGGGGCACTAACTCCTTCATCTTCCATCTCTGAATAAACTAGGTTGCTTACTCAGTACCTAAACTTCACCTATTTGATGGAACTAGAAACAAACACTCAACAAGTAAGCATTCGGTAGTAGCTACAGTTACGACCCAGCCTTCAGATTCCTCTTTCTGCACCAACTACCTAACTTTCCCTGAAAGGAAGGATCTCCAGGATATACCCCCTGATGGATGAATCCAGCGGAACAGGGTTGATGCTTGCTTTCTTCTAAATTGGACCCTCCTTCGCCTTGACAGAATTCTGCACAGGAAATCCGGATCTGTCCTTCGAATTCCTTAAAAATTCCCTGACGTAAATCTAAACGCTTTACAGTAGTCACGCTCTGCTCATATATCACAGAAAAAGTGGAACCATATAATGATGTAATAGAACGATTATTACACCCGTTACAGTATCCTACCTAAACTTTCGAATAAATTAAGACTAAATGTTTCTGCCGACGTAATCATGGATTCATTTACTCGTTACTGCTTCTTTGTTAATTAGTAAAAGTCAGTCGTTAACCATTCTTTTCGAGGGCGCTCGCAGTCGTTTTCGGTTCAGAATTTGTCCCGTCATGGCAGGTATTCAGGTATTTTTGGAGCTAGGTGAGATGGGACAGTGTTGAGTGGTGGTGTTACGATACGCCCTGAGCACTGGCTCGACCCCTGCCTGGGATCGGGTGGATTACTAGTTAATAAACTTCCTACAGAAAGTCATCATTGGTAGCATCCAAAATCGGAACGGATCAACTTCATGAACTTCAGTTTGCTTTATCGTTGGGGCGATACCGATCGGGTTCATCGAAAGGTCAAATGAACGCCAGAGCTCGATCGAGCTCGATTTTGAGGTTCCCTGGAGCCACAAAAAGGATCACATGTGCTGTACCAGTAACTTGAGAACAATGTGGGGCTCAAGATGTGGCCAATTTTGAAAGTACAACAAACTACCTGAGCAATATTTCAATACAGGCTTCGGTCCATCTAAAAGGGCTGGGAACAGAGGATGAGATATGGAATCGACGGACTTCAACTTGTAAAAATACTCGCTACATCCAGTTGCTATACTGTAGCCATATCTTGAGGGCCACTTATTATCTTTGAGAACATTACTGTCGATGAGGGCATCATCTACGAGTAAAAATGGGACTTACAGCTTTTCCATTGCCTTAAGGAAAAGAATCTCCTTTACCAGTCGGGAGACGTGTTCTCAACTACGTTTAGTGGCGACAGTGAGGTTACCAGTGATTTAGAAGGCGTTGAAGCCAAATTGTGGACAGTTACCAGTGAACATTCCTAGAACTAGGAACATTCCGAGAGTTTCGGTTCCCCATATCCGATGCCTATTAGATCGTGAGAAGAGGAAAGTCTTTCTTTCTCGTCCAAGACTTGGATCAAAAGAAGAGGATCAGGAACGGATACGAACGTGAGAGGTCCGGAAATGGTGTTGACTTAAGCAGTTGGGGGAGAAGTGTTGTTTCAGGGGAGCTGACGGCAGCACACACACACTGCGCTGTGTTTTTTGGCTACTGAGACCTTTCGGGGCTTCAGATCGGACCCGCAGTACTACGTATTTGCTTGCGTCGAGTACAATAACGGCGGTCATTCAGAAGAAGGACGCCCTGTTTAGAGAGGAACTAGAAATTTCGCTTTTCCCGTGTACTTGAGGTTTTTTAGAACGAAGAAGGCTCCTTATTTGGATACACTTGACAGCTTTTCTTGCAGTATCACAAAGGGAATGTCCACGAAATGCTTCACGCGATGCCTCCGTGCAAAGGGAGTGTTTTGTGCTTTTGATTGTCGTTACTGGATCCGAGACATCTCACGCGATTCTCTTTGGGCCCCTCCGGCTAATCGCCCTTGGACACGCATAACACGCAAGTCACGCATTTTCAGCTGCAACAGTTCGTTACTGGTATGGAATCTCGGAAACGTGATTTCTCATTTTTCTGCAAATTTCCGTCATAACTATCTGGTGGAATGCGTTTGACGCTTGCCTTGCCTTCATTGTTATGCGCTGCCCGAGCAGCAAAGACGCTACACAAGATCAGGAGCCACCAGCACCATACACACACACACACAGTCAGACAGACAGACACACGACAGAGAACCGGTCCAGGTCCAGTGTACGAGAAAGGTTGTGCACGCCACGGGAATAGAATCACAAACAATCGCACTTGCAAAAACAAACAACGGCTCCGATAGGTCGCACGCGACACCGCGCGCGGACGCCGTCATCGTCGTCGTCGTCGTCGTCGCCGTCGTTTGCGTTCCGTGTCATTGGCGCTCGAAACACGATATTTCGAGGCTACGGGGCATCGAGTCCCCCACGGCGAAAATTGACCATTCCCTCCCGTTACAACACCTGTTGTCGGGATCTCGTCATCAAATCAGTGACATTACTGATGGGGTGGAAATGAGGACGTTCCCGTGCATGGCCACAACCGCAATGTTGAGTCGAAGGCATACCAGTAGCGCGAACTGCAGTAAAAGACACAGAGAGAAAAACACTGCAAAACTGAGGCTGAAGTTGCTCGTACCCCCCATAGTGAGTAGATGATCATGAGCTGATACTATTGGGGTAGCTAAGGGACGGAAATGGTCAACTTTTGCTCCTTCGCGTGCCCACTTCAAGATGTTGCAGGTCATTTTTCTACCACAAAGTTAACCAGTAACACAAAGTCGGCGAGTTTCGGCTAAATCGACCTCGAGCGGGACTAAACCAGTAACACAAGATTGGCGAGTTACGGCCAAAACTTCGACCTCGGACAGGACTCGAACCTATAGTTTGTGCTACCCGGGCACCGTGCTTTTTATCCCTCACACAACCGAAAGTTACCGTTTAAACCGGTACTTTCAGGTATCACTTGTCAGAATAGGTTCTTTGTTACTAGATCATTCCGGTCCCAATGATTCCGGATCTTCCGCGAAGGTCAGAGCTTCTGGTAGGTGACAATCTAGTAGCGTAACGGTCTTGAGAATCGTAAAACCCGTCCTAGTACCGAAATCACAGCGCCTCTTTCTTATCTGTCTATCAAAAGCGAAACCGCAAAAGATTACTCATACTGCGTAACTACCTTTTACTGTTAGTTTCACTGACTACGAACTTCTAGAAACTTCTAACTTCAAACTGGCTTCGCAGCTCATCATAACCCGATTGGAAAATGGGTTTTCGGGGTTGAAGTACAAAAGGAATGTGAAAAAAAAATTCGAAAAAATCAGAAAGAGGTATCGAAATGGTATCGTCCAAAGAGATTTTGGGAAGCAAAGAAAAAAATCCTCGAATGTTGAGAGCCCTTCACCGTGAATGGGCAGAAACTACAAAAACTAAATAAAAGTAGTCAATAAAAGTAGTCATTCCAGTACCAGGATTACTATTTTAGAGAGTATTACTCGATTAGGACTGGTATTCAATCAAATTGAGAATTTGTAATTCCAGCTAAGCGATAGATGATCTTGTCATACTCTACACGAAAAGGTTCGAAGGTGATAATGCACAAAACTAAAACTACAGTAGTCAGTTAGAAAGAAACTAGAAACTACAGTAATAGCCAAAGTTCTCAGGTACAGGTTAAGGCTGTGAAATGACGGAGATATAATACTATAAATAGTCCAAAGAAACGAGAGAAGAGCTATAGAACACCACAATGTTTCTGAGAACTACAAATCATATAGAAATCAAAACAAAGGAACGATAACAAGTAAAAAAACCACTTACTTCTATGAATTTTCCACCATTTCCTACATTCTCCACGGCACCGTTCTCTTCATCGGTAACGGTATCTGGCGGTGATATGGAAACCGAATCTCGGCCGAGGCTTTCGGACATTGAAAATGGCGAATACCACTGTAAAACGAAATCCGTGAGGTTAAATTGAAGTGCCAATTTCGAGAGGATGATTGGGGGAGGCTTCGCGATAAGTACGAGACAGTTCAATTTGAGTAGTTGAATTTGAATTTCAATTGACTTGACTGAAACCGACAAGTAAGCCATTAGAGAAGTCGGTAAAGTGGCGTTCTAAGTGATGCCCAAATAGTCGACACTGTACATTTATAGTTTGATGGATAGGACCACTTGAAGCTTGAAAGCGACGCGACGCATGACCGTATAAGTAAGGTGAAAAGAAAACATTACTGCAAACCAGTTTATCACATTAAATTACCCCCATTCGAGGAGACGTGTGGGACATATTGGAACATGCAAAGATCGAAGTCCTTAGGGGAAATTTATTGCCACCCAAATGGCGTGAATAGACAGTCTGTAAACGATGGTCGTGCGCTGGTGATTGGCTGGCCGGCCGACGGGCCGACCGTCACGGAATGCCTTTCACCCTTAGGGGTGGCGGCGGATTTGTGGAGCACCCCGACGAGTCCCGTTGGAGGGGGTGAGCATCGGCGGCGAGGGGGGGGGGGGGGGGGNGGGGGGGAGTGTTTTTGCGATATTTACAGAACGTTGCAATTTGACGAGCGCTCGCGTTCCACTTGCCAGCTGACCGTCGGACGCTTCGTGACCGACCGCCCCTCACGCATTTCGCTCGGCTCTCATCGCGCTCACACTCTATTCGTACGCTCCAGCGCTAGTCCGACTCGAAAATGACCAGCTGACAGGCCGATCGCCGTCTCTCACGCAACGATGCTCCATCGTAGCCACCTGACCACGTGTGCTGCTGAGCAGCCAGATTTGCTATTTGCGGCCTCCCCCCTTTTCCCCAACCCACCACCAACACCCGAGCGCCCGATTCTAAATGTACACATTCTCGGCTATTTGCAGTGAAGGTGACGACTGTACACGTTATTTGCATTAATCAAATGAAAAGATCACAATATACAACACATCACATGTCTCAAGTGCCTAGACGAAAGAAAAACTGAAGGGAATCATAGGCATGCCATTCATGCAGCACGGTCTTTGAACAATGAGATAGATGGTCCGGGTTCAATGCGACGAGAGATCTTGAATCATCGGGAAGCCAGACGTCCCCTTGAGATGAAGCCGCAGCGTCTGCTACAGTTCTACGCGAGCCTGACCGAAGCGCGATCGGCGGGTCAGTGAAATCCCAATGTACCCGGTCCTATAGCTTCGGTTCGGGTAATTATAGCTTTTCAGAAGAAACGAGTTGGCAATCAGACAACTCCCCAAAAGAATCCACCCCCGAAGTCGAAGTGCAACTTCTCTGGAAGCTCCTCTTTTGGCAGAACGTTTGAAAAAACCAATGTCTGCTCTAAATAACTTGTTTTATTACAATTCAAAAACGGTGCCATACCAGCCTTACTGCGAAGTATGATCCAGTAGAGGTGGTCAGTAGCGTAACAACATGATCTTCCTTGTTGAAAGCATATGGGAGACATCAAAAAGACTTATTTGCTACTGACAGTCGCCTGTGGCGACAGCGGATTATGTCCAGATGGAACTTTAACGGTGGGATTCAGGTGAGTTCTTCACAAAATGCGAAGTTCTCCCATAGGGTTCCTGATACGTCGTTGTTTTCCCAGAAGGCATCAAACACTTGTTAGGTATTGTGAAGCATCTCGAGTTACGTTCGGACTTCTGAAGACGACGATTGCATCAAAACATTAGGCCGTTGATCTGATAGATGGTTCCACCTGGAAACCTCAAATGGCCGAAGAATATTACCAACGCAATACCCTCAGGGTCAGTCAGGTCCTTCATGTTGAGCGCAGTGCTATCTCGCTATGATAATCCTGGTCCCCTGAGGTTAAGGGTAGTACAGCAATACGGTCTGTTGTTTGACAGAAACAGTACAGTAATATTCTAAGACTTTTTTTTATAAAACCTGCCACAAAAATGATTAACAAGCTCTTATCAACTTACGTTTCGACCTTATCGCTTCTTCAGAGTCTGAAAACTTTAAGATTATCTCTATCCATCCCTCATTCAACAACTAAACTTCGGAAAAGGATCCCCCAGATCTAACGTTCCCAAATGAGCATGATTACCTTAAACTTATTCAACCCACCTCAATAAACAACCGATCGTTCAGACGACCGCCGCTAAACTGACTCCCAGGGGCTTGGGGGTGGCTTCAGATGATATGCCCTATCCCTCTCGCCATGATATCGGGGCAAATAAAACCACAGAGGTCAGAAAAGGCGAAAGTTCACTGGCTATGACTAGACACTCGTCCTTCCTATTCATTTCTGGAGACCTGGTGCTGATGAAAAATGCTTCAAATGTCTTCCGCGCCAAAGTGAGGGGCTCTAGTAACAGAGACTTAACTGTAATTTCGAACACCGCACCTTCATGGGACTCTACCCGGTGAGCACCCAAGGGGGTCTCCAACCTTGCTTGATTCAAACCCTCCAGATGCTCTTTGACCCTAACGCACAGCGGTCGCCCAGTCTCCCCAACCCTCACATAGATTGCATGTGATCAGGTACATTACGTCTGGCGTCATACAGTCACCTTCCTGTCCATTACGGCACATCACGCAATTGGGAGTCAGACAAATTCGATCGTAGCAGCGGTTTCGAACCAGCCGCTGCTTCAGATTTTCAGGTGGGATCTCGTCCACTCGTACCATGTCCTTTAGACCACACCTGTTTGACGCCCCCCTTATTTCAAAGCTCATAGCATCACTAATATCGGGGATACAGAACGCTACTTTATCCGAGCTATCGATCGTGGGGCCGTGTTGTTTCATGGTATTACAGTAATACAGATCCATTGCTTGACAGAAACAGTACAGCAATATGATGCTGTCATTCCAAAAATTGGCTGTGCCCTTTTTTCACATGGACCATTCAAAGTTGGTATAGTAATGAAAATAAGTTAAAATCATGGCGGATCCCATACGACGCCATCAAACAAGATTACCCTATTCCTTACCCTTTCATTTTCACTACCCGTTGCCATTTCTCAACGGATCTTTTATCTCATGTCAGTTTCAGAAGTTGATGGACACTTCAAGAGTGCGCCACGTCCTCGGATTACGAACGCATTTACGAATGGGTCGCATTTTTAGCTGCAGGCCGGATTCCACGAAATCACTTGCACACTTCTACAGATATCGGTTTTCCGAGTGAATCCTTTTATTGGAAGTCAACGTATGTATTTAGAATAGTAGCCAGTAACATTGTATAGCAGTAAAGTTTACCTCTCTTGGAATCTCCATGTGAAAAGTAATATTTTGTATTGACTGAGTAAAATTTTTTTAACTCTGTATAGTTGTATTGCTATCTTTCCTGAGGTGCACAGAAAAAGAAACTAGCCGGATTTGCGAGACTGGTACTAACGAAATTTGAACTAAATTACACATGGGATCATGGATTGGTGGCGCCTCTTGCCGTTGCCCCACGTTCACTCACAGAACAATTTGTATGTTCTCGTTTGTGTGATTACAAAATAAAGGATATCTGTAAGTAGCCTAGCATATAGAAAAAGGCTCGACTTACACAAATCGAATCAATTTCAAGTTTCATCCCAAATTTGGAAGTACAAACTGAGACGAAAAGTTTTGTTTGCGGTAGCTCGAGGTGCCCTTCGACGCTCAGTTCACGATCACATGGGTTGCACAGGTTCCGTACTGGTAGGGAGTTCAGGTCTCCGAGGAGTTGGCGCATGGTTTGTCGTGGCTAGCTACGGTCTGGAACTTGTACAGCTAGAAATAAGTAGTCCTTCTTTCCCTCCTTTGGAGAGAAATCTGAGTACCACAATCTGAGAAACGAAAATTTTCAGCTCGTCTTCCTTGGGACCCTAATAGTTGAGACCTTGAACCTTCGTGACGTGATGAATTCATTTTGAAAAACATAAAAACTGTATGGCCATATGCTCATGAGCGAATATGAGTCCCAGGGGAGCCTAAAGGTGCCACTATCAGTCTACCTCCATACTGAGTTGTCACTCCGCTTCAAATTCTTACGATATCGTTTTACTGCCTACCTTACCTTACTCCTTTTTAGATTCAAAATAATAAAGTAGGTACGAGGGGATTGTCCCACTAAGGCGCTTCGGCTTGATCAGGCTCCTGAGACGACGACTCCTGTCGAAGTGTCAGAGGAATAGAGTTGTGCCATTACTGGAAAGCTAAACAGAAAAACTAATCAGTGGGAGGTTTCTGAAATTAGAGCGAAGTTCCGGCTCAGGTAGAACTCTTTCTCAGGGCTAATTCTTGCTCACTACTTCATCAGAAACCTCGAAAAGCACAATTACGAATTTGAGTCCACTCAGATCGAGTTTTCGTCGATAACTCAACAATCTTGTGAAGAATTTTAAAGGAAGAAATAGCCAGTGAACAAAAAACACTTGGTCAAAGAAGTATTACTGGTACTCGTTTTGACTTGATGGTCTTGTCAGCTACTGCTACTTCCTCGCAGTACGTGTTCCGGAATTCTCACAAGTTTGGCGAGTTGTGGGAAAAACTTTGGCCTCTAACGGGGCTCGAAACTGTACTTGTGCTTTCCAACATCAATCTCCTATCCTTACACCACTGAGACTGAAAATTACTAGTACTATCTTGCAGTATTCTTGTTACGTGAATCTCGTCCTGTTGATTTCTGTGTCTGGTTGTGTCTGTCCGTCCACAAAACTTCAAATTTTTATGGTAACAACAGTTACGGGAAAAAATCTAATGTAATGGAAGTATGAGTTAAGAGTAAGCTCAAAAGTCAGGTTGATTCAATGTCAATGATGGTGCCGACACAGCATAGCACACAATACAGGTATCATAGTCGTTACATTAATTCCGATTAATCGATAGCAACCGGTATCTATCAATATCGATCAAAGCCGGACTGAGCAAGCATTCATTTGAGGCTCTCTTCTGCAGTTAAACAACTACACTCAATGGTAAGCACACATGTATCAAAGTA